CAGAGTATGGATGAACCAGTAAAAATATTTCACTGACTGAAGCATCTGTGAGAGGCATGCTCATATCAATTGAGTTCTCATGAGATTACTACCAAATAACAAAGGAAAGATATGCTATCAGTTGCTGTTCTGTCAGCCGAATTTATTCTGAAGGAAAGTTATGCTTGGCTTGTACAGTGTTTCCAAAAAAACAATTTTATTGAGTTGCCAAAAAAAAAAAAAAATCAAAAATGTACTATAAAAAAAACATTTCTGGCTTCTTCTGAAAAATAGTCTATTTCTGTTAAACTGATAGAATTGGTCGTAGTGGCTATGAAACGACACATGAACAGATTTCCTTTAGCATTTTTGTCATTCTTTCATAATTTCATGTTTTCCTGTTAAGTTCATGCTGTTAAAACATTTGTATAAAATATTATAAACCTTATATTCTAAAATTTTAAAGTATTCTATGAAAAATGGTTTGAACTCTCGCTAATCAAGATGGTGGAGTAGGAAAAAGCTGTGCTTGCATCCTTTCATGACCACATCAAAATTACAACTAAACTACAGATTAACCGTCATTGAGAATCATCTGAAGTCTAGCTAAACAGAAGTCCTACAACTAAGGACATTCAGAAGAAACCTCCTTGAGAAGGATAGGAGGGGCGGAGATGTGAGATAGGCTAGTCCCATTGCCGCTTGTGGCAGTTAAAAACCAAGGGGCTGTCTCGACTGCAGAGGTTTCCCCCAGAGGAGCGAGGGGTCCCAGCTGCACACTGGGCTCCTCAGCCTGGAATACTAGTGCCAGGAAGGTTGGTCTCCAACTTCTGTCTGGGAAAACCAGCAGAGATTGTGACCAAGTGAGGCGGAGGGCAGCGGGAGTCCCAGGAGTTCCTCGTAAAGGGCCTGCACATAAACTTAACTCACTGACTGACTCACTTACTCTGCGCTCCAGTGCTAGGGCAACAGCTTGAAAAGTACCAAGGACATACAGGGAGAGACTGAATCGTCTGGCTTTGAAGTGAGGCTTGGAGAAGCAGCTTTCTCCCAGACAGAAGTAGTGGCAGAATCCAGTTTCTCTGCTGAGCCTTCCTTCTTCCCAGTATGCAAACAAGTGGGTGCCTATCTGAGTCTCTTTCAATCTGGTTAACACTGGTTGCTCCGCCCTGATGATTTTTTGAGACCCCACCCCTTCCAATTTGTGGTCGGCCCCCAAGCCACTTCCAGTGGCTTTTCCACACAAATGGCCTATCTTGGCTCATGATGAGGACTTTCCTAAAATCTCTCAAAGGTTCACAAACCCCAAACAAGCAGCATTGGGCCTTGGAGTGTCCCATCCTTCTTGCTGAGCAGCCCTAAGCCTGGCACTAATGGCAGCTGGTCTTGGTTCTCTGCTTGGCTTCTTGAGGCATCTCCAAGCCAAGTGCAGATGGTGGCCATTGTGGACTGCTTAGTTGTTCATATAAGGTGGCTCTGGACAGGACATAGGTTGCAGTTCAACTTGACCTGTGGCATAGCCCATCCTAGGAGATTCTGGGGCAGACATGCCCAGTGCCCAGCTTCAGACTGAACAGGAGAACCACCTGGCCACCTCCAAGGATGACACACCCAAAGGTCAAACTGGTCAGTCACCAGAGCCCCAGTAAAGTGAATCTGGCTCTGTAGGTTCAGGCCCTGCACAACAGCTCCTCCACTGTAGTTATGGCCAGTCATTACAACCAACCAGGCTGAGGGTCAATCCCTCCTACTGATGTTCAAATAGCAACCAAGGCTCAAATACAACAGAAGGGCACATACAACCCACACAAGGGACATACCTGGAGTACTTGACTCAGATGAACAGGGAGACTACACCACTGGGCCTCACAGGAAGGAACATGTCCCAAATGAAAGAAAAGAACAAAGTTCCAGAAAAAGAACAAAATAGAGACAAGCAATCTGTCAGATGCAGAGTTCAAAACACTAGTTATACAGATGCTCGATAATCTCAGCGAGAACTTCAACGAAGAGATAAGAAACATAAAACTGGAGATAGAAAACATTAAAAAAGAACCAGTCAGAAGTGAAGAATATAATAACTGAAATAAAGAATACATTAGAAGGAATCGACAATAGATTGGATGAAGCAGAGGATTGAATTAGCAATTTAGAAGATAGCAGAAAACACCCAAGCAGATCAGCAAATAGAAGAAGAACCTCCACCATTACCAAAAGGGAGAGTTTATGGAGCCTCTGGAACAACATCAAGCATATCAACATTTGCATCATGGGCGTACCAGAAAGAGAAGATAGAGCAAGAAATAGAAAAAATATTTGAGGAAATAATGATGGAAAACTTCTCTAATCTGGTGAAAGAAATAGACATACTATCTTAGGAGGTGCAGAGGGTCCCAAACAAGATGAACCCAAGGAAGCCCACATCAAGATACATCATAATTAAAATGCCAAAGGTTAAAGACAGAGAGAAAATCTTAAAAACAGCAAGAGAAAAGCACTTAGTTACCTTCAAGGGATCTCCCATAAGACCATCAGCTGATTTCTCAACAGAAACTTTGTAAGCCAGAGGGATTGGCATGAAATATTCAAAGTGATGAAAAGCAAGAACCTACAACTAAGATTACCCAGCAAAGCTATCATTTAGAATCAAAGGACAGATAAAGAGCTTCTCAGACAAGAAAAACTGGAAAAGTTCATCACTACCAAACCATTATTGCAAGATATTATAAAGGGACTTCTTTAAGAAGAAGGAAAAAAAAAAAAAGATTAAAAATGTGACCAATAAAATGACAGTAACTACATATCTATCAATAATCACTTTAAAAGTAAATGGGTTATTTACTCTAATCAAAAACACAGGATGGCTGAATGGATATGAAATCAAGAACTTTACATATGCTGCCTATAAGAGACTCACTTCAGATCGAAAGACACACACAGACTGAAATTAAAGGGATGGAAAAAGATACTTTATGAAAATTAAAACAAATGATCAAAAAATCTGGGGTAGCAATATTTATATCAGACAAAATAGATTTTAAGACAAAGGCTATATCAAGAGACAAAGAACCCAGTAACTCTGCTTCTGGATATTTATCCGAAGAAACCCAAAACACTACTTCAAAGGGACATGTACATCCACATGTTCATTGTATCATTACAATTGCTGAGATATAAAATCAACCTGGGTGTTCATCAATGGATGAATGGATAAAGAAAGGGTGGTACATATATGCAATGGAATATTACTCAGCCATAAAAATGAATGAAATCTTGCCATCTGCAACATGAATGGACCTGGAGGATATTGTGCTGAGTGGAGTAAGTCAGAGAAAGAAGAACAAATGCCATATGATTTCACTTATTGTAGTATATAAATAACAAAATAAACAAAAACGACAAACTCAGATACAGAGAACATTTTAATGGTTGCCAGTTGCAAGGGGTTAGAGGGGGTGGGTGAAAAAGGGGAAGTGATTAAGAAGCACAAATTAGTAGTTACAAAATAGTCGTGGGGATGTAAAATATAGCATAAGGAATATAGCCAACGATATTTTAATGGTTATGCATGGTGTCAGGTGGGTACTAGATTTATCAGGGTGATCACTTTGTAAGTTATATAAATGTCTAATCAGTATGTTATACACCTGAAACTAATATAATATTGTATGTCAACTGTAATTGAAAAATAAGACATATTAAATAAAGAAAAATTGAGAAAAGTACTGAATTTATCTATAAACAAACCTAGAGCAGCTCAAAACATATGAAAATATTTTGAATCTGAAATATGGCATCACTTTCTTTAAAAAAAGTAAAGAAATTTCCCAAACTGGAAAATTTTTGTTTAATATTTGTAGTTATGCAAATTTAAAATTATATAAGTATGATTCATTTGAACCTAATAAAAATATGAAGAGGCAGGTATAGATGATAGTCCCATTAATTGATTATTATGAATTAAAGAAATAAAAACAGCTTTTACTTAACACCCACATTGTACTGTGTAAAAGGGAGCATATGCTATAATCTAGTTGGTCTAAATTAAATTTATTAAATACAAATAAACATATACTTATTGCATAGTCTTAAAAGTCTGTAAAATGAACTTCTAAAAGACAGTTAGCACTTAAAATATTAAATTTGTTTCTTCCTTTTTTCAGCTTTACTGAGATATAATTGACAACACTATAAGTTTAAGGTGTATAATGTGATGATTTCATATATGTACGTATTGTAAAATGATTACCACATCAAGGTTAGTTAACACATCTGTTACCTCTACCTCACTTGGTTACCTCTGTGTGTGTGTGTGTGTGTGTGTGTGTGTGTATCTGTGTGATGTGAACATTTATAATCTACTCTCTTAGCAACTTGCAAGTATACAGTACAGTGTCAACTATTTTCACCATGCTATACGTTTGACCTCCAGAACTTACCTATCTTATAACTGAAAGTTTGTACTCTAATCAACATCTTCCCATTTGTCCAGCCCCTGGTAGCCGCTCTATGAGTTCAACTTTTTTAGATTCCACATATAAATGTGAACATTTATAATCTACTCTCTTAGCAACTTGCAAGTATACAGTACAGTGTCAACTATTTTCACCATGCTATACGTTTGACCTCCAGAACTTACCTATCTTATAACTGAAAGTTTGTACTCTAATCAACATCTTCCCATTTGTCCAGCCCCTGGTAGCCGCTCTATGAGTTCAACTTTTTTAGATTCCACATATAAATAATGACTGAATACTTTTCCACTGTGTTTGTGCATAGATATCACGTTAGTTTTATCCATTCATCCACCGACAGACACTTAGGTTGTTTCCATGTCTTGGCTATTGTAAATAACGCTATAGAGAACACATGAGGTTTCAGATATCTGTTTGAAACTGAAAAAAAAAAAAAAGGCTCTATATTATAAATACGCATAGCTGCTAATTCAATAAACTCATTTTTTCCTGACATGCATCACCAATGTTGTATGCTTTTTATTCTTATTTCATTTTTGTTTACAGAAAACTGGGCACAAACCAGAAACTGTGGATTTGTGTGGAGCACATATTGAATGGACAAAGGAAAAATCAAGCAGAAAGAATGTCTTTCAAGTAAGACTGTTCAATTTATTTTTATTCCTTCTAAATCTGAGGTCTTTTGGATAAAAATAAGACTACCTTGTTGTGATATTTTCATGTGCATTTTCAGATGCAGCTAGTTGTGGGAAAGTCATGGCGAAAAACTGACCTCTCTTTTTTTGTTGAATTTTGGGTGGTTTTGTTGTTTTCCCCTCATGACTGGTTGGTATCTAAACACAAAATATATGTTGTGTGTTGATTAATTTTACACCAGAAGTCATTGAATTTGCAATGTATTTGCTAGTTGTTTGGGGTTCAAACCTAGAATGTTTGACTTAAATAGATTTAATGTAGAATTTTCAGACATACATAAAGTAAGATACACTAATTATGAGAAACTGTTTGCATTCATTGCCATTCCTGCCTGCTAGTCATAAATTATGTTAACCAGTATGATTTGGGGGAATGTAGAGAGGTGACCAGCTATAAAAATTAGACCTTTTCATATTACATAATTTAATTTTTTTGGAAAAAAATAACTGTGATTAATAATTTCAATCATGTTTCATTGAATGGAAAGAACCAGATGAAATCCTTGAAAAAAAAAAAGAAATAGGAAAACTTAATATTTCACAGATGACATTACTAAAATCTCTTTGGCAATTAATAACTTTAGATTATGGAGGTTGATGTTTTTCTATAGTCATATGAGATTTAATTCACTTTTATATTTCCAAAGTAACCAATAACTTTATAGGTATATTTTATGATTTATATCATTTAGTATCCAAGGAACTAGATTATTATAATTAATATATTAAGCCATCTAAGACCATTTTGACCCTTGAAGACAAGTCAGCTCTATTCTTAAATGCATCACTGAAATTAATATATTGTATCTCCTAGAAGTATAAGTTGGTGAGAAAGTCTAGCTGAGGTCCCTGGCGAGAACAAAAAGTGGTTTCTAGTTTGTTTTGCATCTTCTAGAAGCTATTTCAGGTTTATCCAAATAATTTGGACCCATGTTAATTAAAAAAAAAAATTTCAACATATTCTGGAATAAATTATTTTGGGAGGTTCTAACATCATTCTATTTAGATATTCATTTTTTGACATATTAATGGTTTTTTACTAAAAAAGAAAGAAAACTAAACAGACTTGCCTAGAAATCAAAAGATTAAAGCCAAAAGTGATTAGAATGTGAATTTACAGGATCAAGATAGAAAAATAAATTTTTTCTAACGTGAAGAATTGTAGATCAGTGATATGTCCTGTCTTCCAATTTCTTACTCTTTTTGTTAGTCTGCTCTCAGTAACAAAATTTAGAGGCTGTAATCGTAGTCTCTATGACAACCTACATAATCAGTATGAGACATTTTGAACTGGATTGGGCGAATTAAGTGGTTTAGTTTTATTATGTATTGTGAGTTTAGCATCCTAATCACCAATGTTATAAAATAAAGACATGAAAATTTGGCATCAATATAATTCTTAGACAATGGAAACATTTAGAGTTGGTCCAAGGCAGCCTTTTTCAGTTCTTTTTGTTAACCTTATGAAGAGTTAAATTAGATTACAAAAGAAGATGATAGTCAAGTATGTGTGATATATATAGGGCCTCAAATATTAAAAATATTTATGTATAATTTTACATAGCTATAAACATAATAAACATAGATATATCTTTGAACCGCCTATACTGATGATACATATCAGCCTAACATTTTCTGAATATGGCTAAGCACCTCTCATTATATTTTTTTTACTTGTTTTTTATATTTCTGAATATAGGTGCTTCCAAATATATTAAAAACTATTTTCACTTTTAGTAGCTTTGTAGAGGTGACATTCTTGCCAGCTAGTTTTGTTTGTAAGGTACCCGAATAGCTCACGGGACCTCAGTGTTCTTATATTCAGTTTACATAATTTTTAGTATTGTACTTTTTAGTTTAGAGAAACAACAGGTTATTATGAGGATGTTGTGAATAAAGCTAAAGAAAGATTCAGATTTCATTTCCTGCTTCATTCTTTTTGGGGTGAATCATGTGATTTTCACATCATGCTGAAATCTTTTTATCACCTAAACACATGAGCTTAGGTGAAATTTACTAATATGTATCCACAGATACAAACTATGAGAGTGAGCCTTTTGAGAGGAACCATATAAATAGCTTTTATAGTTATGTTAACAAGAAAGCGTTGGGAAAGATTGACCAGAGAACTGAATCTAGATGACTTGCATCAATATTTGATTAGATACTTTAGCTGGTCTAACTCTCAAATGATCAGAATAAACATGATTATATCTCAAAAACTTGGTAGTAAGACATTGTTCGGTGTTTGAATGTGTGTGTGCAAGGGTTTCATTACCTACAGAATAATGAAGTGTTTCTTCCTGACTGAAAAAGACCATCATAGCTTCAGCTGATAAGCTACAGCAGAAATAGCTTTAGAATGCCAAGTTTGAATTAGGCTTGGTGTTCAATCTCAGTCTATGAATTATAGATTACAGATATCAAATGGCTATTGAGATTTTTGGTTCAAGAAAAATCAAAGGAAAGCAAAATTAGAAATAATTTAGAATTCGAAATCTGTTTTTTAAAAGTTGATGGATTAGCAATTATATGCAACATAATTGCAGTGTCTGTAGAGAAGTCAAATTTAAAATGAATATGAAAACAAACAAAATATTACATGCTTGAGATAATATTTGAAAGTCTCAGAAGCACACATTTGTGACAAAAAGAAAAGGAAGGATTCCTTTTAGTTTGTACTTTTATATAGTTATTCATTTTCTTTTTGTATTAAAAGTCACATTTCCTTCATAGTCAAAGTTTTATTTAACTCTTGATGTCGATTCAATCTTATTTGATTGGTACATGGTAACATACCAGTGACAACGTTAGTTAAGCATTAAGGCTTGGTACTCAACTCTCAGTAAATCACAGTGATGGTCATTGTCTGAGTAAGTAATAACAGGACAGTCTTTGGCCTAATTTGTACTTCTAATAATAAATTATATATTTTTAAAAAATCATCGGCAACTTTTATAATAAGTGAAATATAGACAAATGATACTATGTTTTTAAAAAGTATAAAAGTATAAAAATATGCGTATATAATGTATATGTGTCTGTGTATATACCCACACCTAAGCTTGACCTTAGAATATAGGGTGATCGTTGCCACACATACACACAAACACAGAAAGACACTTTGTATTTATTAAAGGTCATACAAATTCGAAGTTAAATTAGTAAATGTTCACTGCTGTGAACTTTTATTTAATTCTGCATTTAGCATAATTGTCGAGGACCATCACAAGTTTGATGTAGCTTGAGAAAGCATTTAACAAGCAAGTGATTTGTAATGAGCTGTGGTACGAGTTTTCTTAGTTAACTTAAGAGCAATCAAATCACATGTTTTAAACATTTCTGCTAAGTGCTAGTTTGCTCTTCGGTGTTTAGCCTGAAATTTAAAGCACTAAGGATTAAAAGGATTACAACATAATCTTAAATAATCCTAAATGTCATTTACAGAGAGATAGTTGTAATAACTAAATAAAACCATGTTAAAGGTTGGCAGTATTGTCAGGCAGCCTCTGTAACACAAGCACTGCTTCTGTCCCTTCTTCCTTTTCCTCGAAGATAACATTAGTCATTTACAAAGCTTTGCAATAGGGCGTTCAACTGAGAAAATGGCTGCAAAGTAATTTAAAACAATCAGTAATTTTTTAACTTTTAATATCTTCTGCTTCAAAGTTGAAGGAAAATTTTTACTAATGTTTTCTTCCTTCCTTTGAACACAAGGCTCTCTGAGTAAAATATCTTTGAAAGTCGGGGGAAAGGGAGTTCATGACACGGCTATGGAATAGATAGATGATACATCTATAAAATATTCCTGTTCTCCAAGGAGCTGCCTGCCCCCTTATTATATATACGATGGTCCCAAGCACTGTAATTAATTCCATACTATTTAATTTAGCACTTAAATATTCTTTAGTGCTGTCATGTAAATTAGTTTTTGTCTCCCCAAAGAAAATACAAAGACAGAGACTATATTCCATACTGCTTTATATGTATTAAACCAGAGGACCAGATACCTTTTAACTAATTCAGTGGTTACTGCTAAGGCTAGAGTTGCATTTTTTTAGTAAAAAAAAATTACTGTCATAAAGCATTTTAGGAATTTGTTTCCATAATATAGGCTCTGTGCTCCAAGATGATTTCCAGAGTATCAATCAGCTCTAATCACTTTGGTAAATAGGGAGTAAAGAATAAGAAAAATATGGTTTCCTTGGTTCTTTACATTACAACATATAAGATAGTAAGTAGATGATTACTCATTTAAAATAATTAAATAATTTTTACTCTAAAGGTTTATCTTTTTTCAGATCCAGACCGTGAGTAGGCCTCATTTTTTTCTGAGTTTTCTTTAAAATAACATTTTTTAAAAAAATGTACCCATGAACACGCAGTGGGTTCATATATCGATTACGTGCTTCGAGTAAAATGATTCTACTATGTATGCATTATGGCTGATTAGCACTATATCTATTGCCTGCTTGAAAGGCAGAAAAAAATAAATGACTCAAGAAGATGAAAGTCTATTCTCCTCCACCAGTACCAATTGATAACCTCAACAAAAATTATAATCAAATTTCCTGGATTTGAGGTTCTTTTTTAATATATAAAAATATCTCATGGGAACAGGTTCTGTCCCTAAAAGTAAAGCAAATCTCAGAATAGATTTATCATTACTTGCATTACTTTTCTGATTTTGGATGGAGTCTTCTGGCTATAATGTATATTAAACATATTCATGTAATATTTTCCATGGATATGCTCTACATTTAAACATAATTTGATTGCTCTTCCTGATCTGAATATGTCTTAGCTTAAAATGTTTAAGTACTGCTTACATTTATTAATGCGAAGATAATTTAATAACATCTTGGAAAATGTCATTTTAAGCCAAAAGGAAAACTACTGGTATTTTGCTTTTATCCATTTTCTTCTGCTAAAAGTGGTGGT